CTTGCCCTGTGGCCTGGGCTCTGGGCAGTATCTTTGTCCCTGTGCTATGGGCTGGTGTGCATGTCCTAGGTGAGTGACCCTGTGGAAGTGAGAGGTGCCATGATGCTGAGCAAATCCACCGTGCCAAAGAGTGAGCGTCTGAGACACTCAAGTGCTCATGAAAGTTCTGGGTTTTGAGAACTCAATATAGTCTGGGAACGCAGACAACCGACAGGACCCAAGTAAAAAGACAACAGTAAGGGAAATGAAGAAAGTGAGCTCATCCTAAGGGTCATAAACTGCAGCCCCTCTGTCTGCCAGGTCACTGAACAGTAGACCACTGAACAATGGTCTATTCCAGACCAGGCTCTGTGCCAGAGGCAGGAGATGCAGTAAAAGCAGGACACAGTGCTGCCTTAGCAAAGTACTGACACTGCCCGGAAATGTGGACTTCCCCCATGGGCGTCATGCCAAGGAGTCAGCACGGATCTCATCTCTAGAGCAAACGTTTAACTGATCTCTAGTGCTGGTTCCAGACCACGTCCCTAGCAGCTGCTATTAGCATCCCCTCCACGAGGCTGACCTCATCTGTCTGCATCACTTCTATGCACCCACCTGGTCACAGTCCTTTCCTGCTTGTTATAGTTTGGATACAGAAATACCTTTTTTAAAAGCTTCAGGGCATGGGCCTGAGAAGGTGGCTCAGAGGTAGAATGCTTGCCTTGCATGCTTGAGGCCCTGGGTTTGATTCCTTAGCACCACATAAGCAGAAAAAAGCCAGAAGTGGAGCTATAGCTCAAGTGGTAGAGTGCTAACCTTGAAGAGCTGAGGGACAGCACTTAAGCCCAGAGTTCAGGCCCCATGACAAACAAAAAAAAATGTTTCAGGGCTGGGAAGGTGGCTCAGTCATAGAGTGTTTGCCTAGCATACATGAAGCCCTGGGTTCAATTTCTCAGTACCACATAAACAGAAAAAGCTGAAAGTGGCACTATGGCTCAAGAGGTAGAGTTGTAGACTTGAGCAAAAGAAGCTCAGGAACAGTACCCTGGTCCTGAGTTCAAGCCCCAGAACTAGCAAAAAAATTCACATGTTAAATATATATCTTTGTGCAAATCCTGGTCAGTATTATTCAGTACAAACAGCGATCCGAAATACATACTTCCAGGCCCGAGCCTAGCAGGAGAATATATAGAAGTTCCCACAATATGAAGCCAGGTCAAAAGAATGATGCAAACCACTAAATTTCCCTCATAACTCAAGTCCTGAACAAGATGAGGCCACTAAACTTCCAATTCCATTGTTAACCTCTATCAGCAGCAAGATCATAAGTGGGCTTGTTCTCTCTTTGCTCTTCTCCCTCATGCCTAACCTTACCATGCTCCCTTCAGCAGGCAATAACATAAAATATATAAATTAGTATAAAATAGATAAACAAAAGAGCTAGCCTTATTCATCCTTCTGCCTAGGATTAAGGTTCACCCATCAGCTCTTAGAATTTTCTGCTTATATACCCATGTCCTCTCACATAGGTGATCTTTATAAGGGCAGGCACCACCAGTCCAGCATGCATTTCCTAGTCAATATTCTTTTATCATGAGCTATTGCTGCTTGTGTTATAGCAAGATGTCAAGTGTAATCGAGATGGCAACCAGTGGGGTGACTAACAAAAGAGGTCTGATATAAAGAGAGAAGAAACCCAAAAGTCACATGACAGCTAAAGTTCCAGACAGTCACCAAATAGAAACTTGAATTCATTTCAGCATTTGAAAAAAAAAGAGTGTGTGTGTCTGTGTGTGTCTGTTTCCATGCTGGGGATTGAACTCAGGGACTTCAAGCTTGTTAGACAAACACTCTGCCCCAGCCCCAATATGTTGTTTTAAATCAGGGAAGGATATTCTACAGGTGCAAGTTTCAGAAGCACAAGTTTTAAAAGTACAAGTTTTAGAGTCAAGTTAATTGCTTACAAGCAATGAGTAGAAAGAGTCTGGGTATCTAAAACCTTCCAAGGATTCCTGACTTCAGTACAATGAGCAAACAGAACCAGAGTGTTGCTGTCCATGGTGCTGAATTCACTGTGACCTGATTGATTCTCCTGACCCATGTTCCTTCAACCTTCTCTATGGGAATACTATCTAGTTTTTCTCTATATGCAGGTAGCTTTTTTTTTTTTTTTTTTTTTTTTTGTCGATTGTGGGACTTGAACTCTGGGCACTGTCCCTCAGCTCTTCAGCTCAAGGCTAGCACTCTATCACTTAAGCCACAGTGCCAATTTCGGCTTTCTGAGTGGTTTATTGGAGATAAGAGTCTCCCAGACTTTCCTTCCCAAGCTGGCTTTGAACCATGATCCTCAGATCTCAGCCTCCTGAGTAGCTAGGATTATAGGCATGAGACACCAGTACCCAGCCTGCAGGTAGATTTTTTTTTTTGGTCGGTCATGGGGCTTGAACTCTGGGCCTGGGTGCTGCACCTCAGCTCTTCAGCTCAAGGTGAGTGTTCTACCATTTGAGCCACAGCACCACTGCTGGTCTTCTGAGTGGTTTATTGGAGATAAGAGTCTCACAGCCTTTCCTGCCCGGGCTGGCTTTGAACCAGGATCCTCAGATATCAGCCTCCTGAGTAGTTAGGATTACAAGTGTGAACCACCAGTGCCTGGCTTTGCAAGTAGCTTTTGAGTGGGGTTCTAAAGGATGAACTCAATTTCACAGGTAGAAAAGGTAACAAAAGGAACAGGGTGAAAAATAATAAAGGCATGCTAATTGTTTCCAGTCCCTTGTTGCCACAAACACATATGACAAGCATTTTCACACATAACCCCTATGGATCTGTGAGACAACTTCTTTAGCATTCTTGCCCATGAAAAGAACTTATGGGGGCTGGAAGGTGGCTCAGTGGTAGAGCTCTTGCCTTGCATACCAGAGGCCCTGGGTTCGATTCCTCAGCACCACATTAGCAGGAAAAAAAAGTCGGAAGTGGCGCTGTAGCTCAAGTGGTAGAGCACTAGCCTTGAGCTGAAGAGCTGAGGGATAGTGCCCAGGCCCAAAGTTCAGGCCCATGACAGGACCCAAAAAAAAGGAAAAAGAAAAAAAGAAAGCAAAGGACTTATGGGACATAGACAAGATGTGTATTCAACTAAATGCAAGATGAAATCTCATTGTTGTTTTCATTTTACAAGTGTTATTTTGTTTTTGTTTTTGTTTTTTGTGCTGGCACTGGGGCTGGAACTCAGAGCCTCATGCTCGTGCTTGGCCTTTTTACTCAAGGATGGCACTCTACCCTTGAGCTGCACCACCACTTCCATTTTACAAATGTTCCAACCAACACAAGATACATTTCAAGGCTTTCCTTTCTTTGTCCTCAATGTTATTGGACTGAATTCTCACAGAGAAACAAGTATTCTCAATTTCATATTAAAACTCTGAGTTTCCTAGACATTCACATACAGTAAGGCCAGATGAGGATACTCTTAGGAGAGGAACACAAAGGCACAATGCCTATGTACTTCTAATCACATGAAATAACATTTATGGAAATGAACTCCAGGAAATGAAAGCAACAGGGTTTTTCTTTGTTGATTTTTTTGTTTTCTATTTTGTCTCGTATGCTTATCCATCTTTGGAAGAGTAAGGTGGGACACAGAATTGAAGGAACAAAGGGAGAACAAATGCAGCATGGTACTCACTAGACACTATGTTGAAAATGGACTTTACAACTTGAGGATGGGGACAGGAGGAAAAACTGGAGAAAATGAGGGAAGGGGTGACACTATCCAAAAAGAAATGCACTCTTTACCTGAATTATATAACTATATATATATATAGTTATATAATACCCCTTTGTATATCAATAGCGATAATTAATAGCAATAAAAAAAATTTAAGCTGGGCTCCAGTGGCTCACGCCTGTAATCCTAGCTACTCAGAAGGCTGAGATCTGAGTATCACGGTTCAAAGCCAGGCTGGGCAGGAAAGGCTGTGAGACTCTTATCTCCAATAAACCACTCAGAAAACTGGAAGTGGTGCTGTGGCTCAAGTAGTAGAGCACTAGCCTTGAGCTGAAGAGCTCAGGGACAGTGCCCAGGCCCAGAGTTCAAGCCTCACAACAGACAAAAAAAAAAAATTAAACTTTATAATAAAAGTTTAAAAAAGTTAACTCTTTTTCTCATGAAGTATTTGGTTTCATAGCATCATTTTCTCTATTTAAATGTTGTAATATTTTACTATATTTTTCCATTTTTGTTGCACTTGCTGAGCAGGAGCTTTACCATCTGAGCCAACCACAAGCCCCCTTTGATGCTTCAATTACTTCTCAGATAGAATCTTACATTGCGAGTCTGGACTAAGACATCATGAGGTGCATGCCTCTAATCCCAGCACTCAGGAAGCTGATACAGGACAATCTCAAGTTTGAGGCCAGCCTAACCTACATAGCAAGACTCTGTTTTTGTGTGTGTGCAGACCTAGCACACTACAGACCCACACAGATGTCAAAGCAGTTGAGATTTGCCAAAAAGGACTATAAAAGAGGGACCACACAAAACTACCATGGGCTACCCATTTCCAATCCCCACTTCTTACTCTCTTACAATGAGAAGTCTAACTTTCTACTTCTTTCTCCTCTTTGCCTGGGAAGCAGGTAGGTAAGACTTCCTATGGCATAGGCAACCCTCCTAGTTCAGGAGCCTGAGCTGGGGCTTATACCAACCATCAATAACTAAGAAGATTTCCTCAGTTTCCCCTGGCATCTTACTCTTGCTTTCAAATAAATTTTGCCTCTTCTCTCACTTCCCCTATCTCATAATTCTTTTATTTGCTGGAGAAAAAGAGCCCAGGAATCCCACAGGGTATCAGTGGGATGAACATGATGACAGTCTCAAGCATTATGCACATGTATAAAAATATCATGAAATTCATTCGAAGTGTACAAAAATAAAAAGAAACGTCTGTGTTGACAACATCCATGACCAAAGAGAAAGAGGCAAATAATAGCAGCAACCAGAGTAATGGAGTTTATTGGTTCTTGGGGTCCACTAATCCCAGACCTCTGTGGAGACCTCTGAAGTGGGCTGAGCTGGTCTGGGCAGGGCTATTTCTAACCCACAGGTTAGGGTTTCTGCTCATGGGACTGATTGTGGAACTCTGTGGTGACTGCAGCAACAATGGACATAAACTCAGGAAAGTTGATCTTCTGGTCACCATCTGTGTCCTCCTGCTTAAAGAACTTTTCCAGGAAATCTGGATTTTCTTTCTCCTGTGAGGAGAAGATATCACACAAAAGAAAAGTTGATTAAAGCCTGGGCTTGGACAAAGAGGGAAAAAGAGGGGAAGCAAAGGTATAAGAGAAGCAGGAATGGAGTGAGGGTTGGAGGAGGGTTAGGCTGCAATGGCCATGATGCATTAGAGCTTGCGCTTGGTATTTTTAATTGGCAATTGGCTCCAACGAGAGCAGAGACAGGACTTCTGCACCTCGTGGAGTAAGCTCTGCCTTTAAAAGCACAGTGTTTATTCTTTCTCTTGACACTCCCTAGACCCAGGGCTCACAACTGTCTTTATTTAATCATCATTCCCATCACAATTCACCAGCTTTGGAGCCCCTCTTCTTTTCACTATCACCACTGTGATTCAATCTGTTGAATTATTTGTGCCAATGAGTTCTGTGCTACTTGTTTAGATAGTAAGTTAGACACTACAGTGAGTAAAAATTTAAAACTCTACTTCATGTCACTCAGTGCTCTGGTTTCTAATGAGTTACTTCTACTCCCATAAGGCACATGAAAAAGAAACTTCCTGAAAAATGCAATAGGATTCAGAGAAGTGACCCTAAAGGAGAAATTTTTTTTCTTGCATTCAGAGTGAGTTAGTTTAAACCAGAGACCTTTTCTTGGCCCACAAATCATAGACACTGACTTCCCAGTAACAACTGTTAGCAAGTTTGTCCTTCCTTGTTTTTACAATGCATGTTGCCAGACATCGCCTCATTTGAATACATATAACAGCCCTGGAGGACAAGTGCTATTGCTCCATGTTACATCAGGAGGTTACTCAGGCTCAATGAGTAGGTGTGCATTTACTTCTATCAACCTAATATGAAAATTAAAGTTGCAGTACAGCTGAGTGCCAGTGGCTCACGCCTGTAATCCAAGCTATTCAAGAAGCTGAGGTTTTTTCCTGCCTTCATAAGCCTTTTTATCTCCAATGGCCTTCCAAAAAGTAGGAAGTGGAGCTGTGGCTCAAGTAGTAGAGCACTATCCTTGAGCACAAAAACTCAGGGACAATGTCCAAACCCTGAGCCTCGGAACTGTTGAGAAAAAGGGGGTGGGGGGAGAGAGGAAAATAAAGTAACAATACAAGAAATTGAGTCTTCCAACCCTCTGTCTAGTTCAGCTTACATTCAAAGAGTAACTACACAGGGAGCTAGACACACATGTGAAATGCTAGCCAGCCCAGTCCTATGGGTGCCACTCAGTGAGCTGACTTTCTCAGGCAAATGTCCATTAATAATGCTTACTCCTACCCACTCCTGCTCAACCTATTAGGTCTATACTCACACAGACTAACAGGAAGGTGGGGAAATTCTCTTTCATCATCTTTGTCAAGCCAGATTTGTCCATGACGTCAGACTCTGAGGCGTGGTCGTGATATATTTTGAGCAAACTTATCAACATCTTCTCGGCTTCAGTGTTACTCATCTTGCTTTTCAATAAGCTACAAGGAAAAACAAAGATGATCCCCTGATTTTGTTTTCTAAGGTGAAAGAGCATGGAGAATCAGATGAGAGGAAAGGCAGACTGCAGAAAGAGGGAGAGTACAGGCCGAGCTGCAACAGGAAGGAGCTAGTATTCCTTTGGTCCATGTAGAATGTGGGAAAAGGAGGAAACACTTGAGAAGACAGAGTGTTGTGGGAACTGTGAGGCTTTAAGTAGGACATATAAGCAGCGAGAAGAATTGGCTGGGCTGAGAAGGGCAAAGTATGAGGTCATTGTGTCTAATGGACTCTGAATTTGGGGTGCTTGAAAAGATATGGGAAGTATACAGATCAGTTACCACTGAAGTCAATGGTGAGAGTCCCCATCAAATCATTGCCAAATAAGCTAGATGCAAGTAGCTCACTCTTGTAATTCTAGCTACTCAGGAGACTTGAGATCTGAGGATTTCAGTTTGAAGCCAACCTGTGTTAGCTATGAGACTCTTATCTCCAATTAACTAGCAAAAGCCAGAGTGTAACTGTGCCTCATATGGTAGAGTATCAACCATGAGCAAAAAAAAAAAAAGCCAACTGAGAGCAAGAAGCCCTGAGTTCAAACCCCAGTACAAACACACACACACACACACACAAGAAGAAAGACACAACCCCCCTAGTTTTCCCAGGGCTCCATGATCTCAGATATAATATAAAGAGCCCAAGTAGTACTCATCAGCACAGAGCCACTAACAAGCCAGCCATGGTCTGTTGAAGAGGTAAGAAGGCCTTAACTCACTTGCTCCATGTGACCTCCTGGATCTCCCAGCTCAGATCTGTTCACAATACTCCAGAGAGGCATGAGAGGGCTGTCAGTCCCTGCATGTTGGTCATACCCCCTTGCTTCCAGTCCTAAGATTTCTACCCCCACCCTTGGTCTGGACACATTCTGTGGCCCACTCAGAGGAGCCCTCCACAGCCCTGTTGGCAGTCATAGGCAAATAGAACCCAGAGAGTAATGAGACATTTGCCCCCAGGAACTTGTGGACTTGAGGACTAGACTCTTCTTTTCCAAGCTTTAGCTAGACTGAGGCAATAATAATGATGAATGGGACAGGGACCTGCATGGCCCTCCCTGGTGCTTCAAAGCATCTTTAGGAGAAGCTAATGGAATAAACCTCCAACATAAGCCTGGAAATCCAGACCATAATCCACTTGGGAGTAAGATTAAGGACTACAGAATGGCTCTGGATATCTCAGACGTATCTCTATCCTCAGTTGCCTGTGATTATATTCTCTCAGTGATTTGTCTTTGAAACTCTGGATGTTAGAAAAACCACCCCAAATCAGAACGGAAAGGATATAAGCTTTCTAGTCCAGTCCATCAGAACGATGAATTGAGAAGAGGAAAAACTGTACAGCCATTGGAGCAAGTTGAGCCTAAACATCCTGCCTCAAAGGCCAGAAGGAGGACTGGGAAGGTGGCTCAGTGGTAGAGCGCTTGCCTTGCATGCATGAGGCCCTGGGTTCGATTCCTCAGCACCACATAAGCAAAAAGAACAAAGCTGGAAGTGGCACTGTGGCACAAGTGGTAGAGCGCTAGCCTTGAGCTGAAAAGCTGAGGGACAGCGCCCAGACCCAGAGTTCAGGCCCAACGGTAGGACCCAGAAAAAAAAAAAAAAAAAAGGCCAGAAGGATTCTCCTGACATGAGCAGAGAGTGGCAAAGACTTCAGCACCTTACCTTAAACCAAGAAGGGAAGAGACAAATGGGAGCTCCCCAGAGCCTGCAGGAGAGAAGAGAGAACTCCAACACCAGGACAAAAGTGAATGAGGAGCCGTCCCTTTTATGGTGCTCAGATTTGGGCTGGGGCCCAGGCAGGGAGCCTGGGGCTTATTCCATCAGTTGTCCAACATGACGGTGCACCTCAGTGTTCCCCACACCCAACCCTCTGTTCTAAGGCTGAGTGGAGCCTGCCCAGCCAGGCCCCATACAAAACACTTTTGCTTTTCTAATCCATGGAACTGGCACGACTGGGGTGAGAGGAAAGGTGGAAGGGCTGTTGTGTCACAAGAAACAAGGCACTGTGGGATTTGCAAGTAGATTTGGAGTCTCTGATTATATTTCCAATGAGTCATTTAATCAACTTTCATTCACTGTCAATAATGTAAAAAAAAAGTTTCTATGAGTCATAAGTTACCGCCATGTCAAGTGGTGTTCTAAGAGCTTTGAATGCATTGTCTCACTTAATCCTCAAGAAAATCCCATGTAAATAATCCATCTTACAGATTTGGAATTGAGCATTTAGATAGATTTCCCAAAAGACCATCCCTAGTATATGCAAGGCCGGAATTTGCACACAAATCCTACTCATCCAGAAGACAGTTTCTAGCACTCTGCAGAAATTCTCAGTCTCTGTTGTGTTGCTTGCTTGGCCCAGGGCCTGCCCTGCAGAAGTACTTCATCCAGGATGGAGGATGTGTGCACAGATGTGTAGACAGAATGACCAAATAGACAAACTATAGCTGTATATAATATGAATTAACCTTACAAGCCATGTTTGGAAAGAAGCTAGACACAAAGAAATGTACGTCATATGATTTTATTTGTATAAACTTAAAAAAACAATCTATGGTTTTAGAATGAATACAAATGCTTCTCTTTTGGAAGGAGAGAGGTAATGGTCAAAATGGGGTATGAGGAGAGTCTGGGGCCCAATAATGTTCTATGTCACACACACAAAAAAAGTTAGGCGCTGGTGGCTCTTACTTGTAATCCTAGCTACTCAGGAGGCTGAGATCTGAGGATTATGCTTCAAAGCCAGGCTGGGCAGAAAAGTCTTATCTCCAACTAACCACCAAGAAGCCAGAAATGGAGCTGTGGCTCAAATGGTAGAGTGCTAGCCTTGATCAAAAAAGTTCAGGAACAGTGACCAGACCTTGAGTTCAGTGCCTGGACTGGCAAAAAAAAAAAAAAAAAAAAAAAAATTAGGAACTGGAGGTGTAGCTCCAGAGTTAGAGAACCAGAATACAAACCCCAGTACTATCAAAAAAAAAAAAAAGACTAAATAAATATTCCAGTACAAATGAGTAAAAAGATAGAAAAAACATAGTTTACTGGCCAATGTACTCCATAGCCTTCTTCCTTCCCTGTGAGTCCCCATGTTATTTGGAGTCCTTGTACATGGCAATCTGAGAGGAGCAGAGTAGAGTTTTTCTGACTCTACTTTCTATTCCACTTTATTATCTAACATTTATATTGATTGCTTACTTCTGCAAACCATGAGAGGGAAACTCAAAAGCAAGTCTGTTTTGCAGTTTTCAAGATCTTTTATCTTTTATTAAATATTCCTGGTTAATCTTCTTTTTTACAGATTTAATATGTTTTTTGTTTGTTTTGCCAGTCCTGAGCCTTGAACTTAGGGCCTACGCGCTGACCCTGAGCTTCTTCTGCTTAAGGCTAGTACTCTAGCCACAGCTCTTGAGCCGCAGCACCACTACTGGCTTTTTTTTGAGTAGTTTATTGGGGATGAGAGTCTCACAGACTTTCCTGCCCAGGCTGGCTTCAAACTGTGATCCTCAGAACTCAGCTTCCTGAGTAGCTAGGATTATAGGCGTGAGCCACCAGCACTTCGCTAGATTTAATATGTTCTAAGTCTCTGAAGATATATTTTGTTTTCTTTTGTTACCTTCATGAACTCGACTTTTTCCAAGTTCTTTGTGTCTACTTCTCAGGTGAGTTCTTAGTCATTCATTTATACACATTACTTAAACCTCTGATAGTCCTAAGCTATCTGATCCTTTTAAGAATGAGGCACTAAAGGGCTGGGTGTGGCGGCATGCACCTGTCATCCTGTCTATGTGGGAGGTGTTGGTAGGAAGCTCTTGGTCTAAGGCCAGCCCAGATAAAAAGTACAAGACCTTATCTGAAAATACCACTAAACAAAAAAGGATTGAGGCGGTGTCTCAGGTGGTTACCACTGAGTTCAAGCTCCAAAACTGCCTCCACTCTACCAAAAAAAAAAAAAATGAAACACTAAAAATTACTGGCAGGGGCTGGGAAGGTGGCTCAGTGGTAGAATTCTTGCCTTGCATACATGAGGCCCTGGGTTAGATTCCTCAACACCACATAAGCAGAAAAAGCCAGAAGTGGTACTGTAGCTCAAGTAACAGAGTTCAGGCCCCACAACCAACAAAAATTAAAACTTAAAAATTAAAAATAAATAAAAAGTTACTGGGAAACACTACCTAAAAGGGCAAAATTTCATCAGCTACTGGTCTTTCTTACAGGGAGATGTGGCTGAGCTGAGTCACCAGGACGCTCTTGAAACTAGAGTCCTTCAATCTCTATCTCCTGTCAAAGGTGAATAGCTCTGGCTGGCAATATTCTTGGAAAGTGGAAGAAGGCAGGAAATCTCACACATACTGCTCAGATTTTAACTTAGCCCCCCCTCCACCCAGGTCAGTGCAGCCCCTCTGCCCCCGACTCAGCTTGGGGGGGGGTCCCCATTTAGAGTCAGCTGAGGCTATAGATCAGAGTCACTGTTTGCAGAGATGGGAAAGTTATATGGAAAGTTAAAGTCTCTCCGCTTCCTCTAGAGACTTTCTATCACTCTTCTCCCTATAGTTTAGATGTGACATGTCCCCGAAAGGCCCATATGTTAAAGACTTGGTTCTCTACCCTATGACATTACTGAGAAGTAGAGGAATCTTTAAGAGGTGGGGCCTAGTAGGAAGAAGATGGAGGAGAATTAGGTCCCCTCTTCTCCCTCTCCCCTCCTCATTGCTCCCTGCTGCTAAAAAAAGGAGCACTGGGGCTGGGAAGGTGGCTCAGTGGTAGAGTGCTTGCCTTGCATGCATGAGGCCCTGGGTTCGATTCCTCAGCACCACATAAGCAAAAAGAAAGAGTCGGAAGTGGCGCTGTGGCTCAAGTGGTAGAGCGCTAGCCTTGAGCTGAAGAGCTGAGGGACAGCGCCCAGGCCCAGAGTTCAGGCCCCATGACTGGATCGAAAAAATGAATAA